GAGGATTGAGTTATTAGCCTAAATATTATTTGAATTGTTTCTTAAATTTCTAAATAGGACTATGTATATTTTTATTTTTTAAATAAGACTTTTATGCAATATTTGTCCTTCCTAATATAAATAAGGTTTAAATGTAGTATCCCTGCAAAATTATTTTTTTCTTTCATTTCTAAAATGTATGTTAGTTTTTCTTTTAGTCTATCGCTGATGGATAATAATGGAATTTAATACGTATTTTAAAAATGTGAGTAATTAGTTTTTATTTTTTTAACTCTCATATTTTCCTCAAAAAATTTATAGGGATGAATTTTTTTAGTGATATACTAAAAAAAAATAATGCATAATACAAGGATGAAAAACAAAAAAAAATTGCAAGCACTTAAATCATATTTAAACATGTAAACAATTCCCTATGCCGGTGATCCGGATCCGCGGCGTCAGCGTCAGTGTAGGCCAAATCTTTAGCGGTAGAGGCCGGCCGGATCTTTAGCGCCGGCGGCCGACGTGGCAAGATCTGGTTAGATGTACGCGCCGATGGTGGTTCATGACAAGATGTGCAATGTCGGTGGTCAGATCGGTGACACCCAGATCTGACCAGATGTACGGAGGAGGCGGCTAGATGTGTAGCGCCGGCTGCCGACGATCAACAACGATGTTCGGCTGTAGTAAATTTTGTCAAGCTTCAAGGGGTACTTTCGTACTCCTGTCCAACTACAAATAATAATTCCTATTTCGAATACTTTTAAACTTTGCACATTGACAATTAAATATTTATTTATTCCTATTTAAATAAATCTCCTTTGACAATTTTGTTCAGTTTATCATTTTTTCTAATCTGGTGAAGGATCTAAATGCAAAAATGGCAAATTATTATGTTTAGTTAATGAGGATATTAGGTGGCATAAGATTAAGATATAATGGGATGAGTGATTAAAAAGGATGATGAGTGGTTAAAAAGAATGTGTACCAAAACACACAAAATTAAGGAGTGCACCGTAGAAACATCCTAATAATAAACCTGGACCGAGCGGAATTACATGAACAAAGTGGTTAAAACTATTATTATTTGGATATGCTAAATAATGATAAATCATACACCGAAAGTAATATTATAAGGCAGAACTAAAAACAATGAATATCTCAGGAAAGTTCTCGAAATAGGACTAAAACAGTTTGAAAATTCCAAAATAGGATTGTCATGTTTTATATTCCCAAAATAGGACTAATTACTGTCATGTTTTGACAGTGCCAAACTTCAAACATGGCCATATTTTTTAAACATGCCAGTAATTAGTCCTATTTTGGGAAAAAAAACATTGCAGTCCTATTTTGGAATTTTGAAACTGTTTTAGTCACGTTTCGAGTAATATCTCATACTAATAAGGTCAAAATTTAGATTAAAAAATAAAGTGATTTGATAAAAGTGATTAGTGAACAATTAATGGATAAACTATATTTGAATAAATAATTAAACATAATAATAAATTCGCATAAAAATATATAAGGGTGAATTTTGGATAAATTATTAAAAATAGAATAAGTGACTAATTATATCATCTTTAATAAAAAAGGTGATAATTTAGAGACATGAGTAGAGGATGTGAATTAGGAGCATCAGAAGTTAAGGTAAGTTTCTCTACCAATCAAAATTATTATTTTTTCTCGTACTATATGATTATGTGCTATGTGATTAAATTATGAGTTTTGGATTATGTATATGTATTATTTGAAGTGATACTAAATCCATATTATTTGAGAAATATGAATTATGTACTTTTGGGGTATTAAATCTCAAGGAGGAGGTGCACATGGTACAACTTGAAGGTTTTTGTATCAAATTCTAAATCAGGATGTTAATTGGAGAAATCCATTTATGGACTAAAACAAACCTTTAGTAGTTGAAATATTAATTTTGATGAAATAGTCAAATCGTTTGACTTCATTAGTAGAAATGAAATGCTTGCATGTTTAGAGTGCGCAACAGGGACATCGTGGTCTTTATAATCATATATGTTGATCATGGAGAATGATATCCCCTCATTGAAGTCCGTGAAAGAATGATTATCCAAAATCTTCATGAATATCTTTTAGTCTATTGTGGATAGAAAGAACTAGTAGAATTTAATTATTCTAGCTTCATGTATGATAAGGAAGACTACGATTCGTCACAGTCAGTGTAAGTTTTTAGTCTCAATAGAACAATAGTAAGAGTTGCAAGTAAGAGACTACTATAAATTCGACAACTAGAGCCTAGTAAATTGTTGCATTTGATGCAACTTTGGTAAGCGTTTAGATACATGAGTTCCTTAAAGAAATAAGGGTAGTTCCTAGCGACATTTATCCAATAATTGTTATTGTGATTATATTGGTGCTTTTGCACAAGCTAAGGGACCAAGATGCAAAGTAAGGAACTAGAAAATACATGTATGCTATCATGTTTTTGATAAAAAAAAAAGCAAAAGGAGAAATTGCAATAGAACATATTCCTGAAAAGGACAATTTGGCTGGCTCATTCACCAAAACTTTGAGATGTGAGAAACATATTAGACTTTTGAGAGTCTAGGTGTTAGACGCATCGGTAATTGGCACTAGGCCAACTGAGAGATTGTTAGTATATATGTCCTAGCGACAATCACTTTTTTGAGATATATGTACTTGATCACATTCAGTTTTATATATTTGATATATACGGTATTGCGCATTGATGATTAAGCATTTCGATTGTCAATGTCTTATTCATAGTTGTGTTCCTTGAACCTATATATGTTGTCAATAAGTAATTATTGGAAAAGAACCAAATTAGAGAAAAGTAATTATTGTCAATAAGCATTTCGACAGTCACATTAAGAAAAGTAATTATGATCGAAAAGAACCAAATTAGAGACAATGGTTACATGCAAATCTCAGACTATATTGATCATTAAGATTTCAGGTGGATCAAATTGGACACCGTGATTACATTTGAATATGGTATTGGTCACTAAGGATTTGAATGATCCAAATAAACACGATCTTAATGTTTTTGGTCGTTTTTGAACACTCAATTACTAATCTTGTCTTCCGTCAATAGAAATCGTTAGTCTCATTTTTTATTTCTTTTTTGTTGTTGTCTATAAACTAACTTAATTCATGGATTTATTTTTATATATAATTTGATGTCTTAATTAAGAACACCTCATATTTAAGAAGTTGAAAATATATTTAGGAATTGGGATGAATTTTACTTGGCACCCCAGGTTTTGGACGATATTTGACTTTGCACCCTATTTTCAAAATCATTAATGTATGCACCCCAATTCACTATAAAATCATTTGACTTTGCACCTCACTCATTCACAATTTTTGGGCTAATGAGGTGCATACATTAATGATTTTAAAAATGGGATGCAAAGTCAAATATCACCCAAAACATGGGGGGTGCAAACTCAAATTCTCCCTTAGGATTTTTTTTTTCATTACACACTATCTTATGGAACTTTGGGAAATATTAATTTGTTAAATTGAATTAACGAAATTAAAAAATCTAGTTACATTACTGTATTAATGAGATTTTCTAAATTGGAACGTCAAAACATATATTTCTAAATCTAATAAATACATCAGTTAAGTTATCCTATGTATAAAAACAAAGGAAAAAGAATAATTTTCATTGATGTAAAATGAAAAACATTTTATATATGTGTACATAAATGACCTCAAATGTTAAATTCTTGCTTGATTTGTCTATTTGAAATCTTAATTAATGGTCAATATGAAATCACATGTAAGTATTCTGCCTAATTTGATTCATTTTAAACTTTAATGTCAAATATAATATTCACATGTCACATAGTGTGCAACTTAATCATTCTCCCAAAGTAATTCATAGATTTTATTCCAGACTTGCAAATTTTATTACGTTTATTTTATTATATTACATCAATGCACATTTTTCTAAACGTTGATATAACACAAAATTCATTTGAATATTCCACAGGTAATAAATACATTACAATTCAAATTAATAAAATTACTTTATTTTCTGGTTTACTATAGAAAAATTGTCGGAAAAACATATCTCAACCATTTAACAAGTTCTTTAAACATTAAACTCCAATAATATAAAAAAACATCTAAAATGGTTAAAAGTGTACAAGTAGGGAAAAAATAGTAAAAGATATTCAAAACAAGATCAATTACCAAATCAAATCATACAAATGTCAGCATTTTATACAAGTGGACTATAAAATATTTCATCATCAATAAAAGAACGCACAATCAATCACTTAAGATTTTTTTCAAACAATTGGTAGGCATTAAGTATATACTACCTCCGTTCTTAAATAAATGCAACACTTTGACTTTTACACTATTCACATGTTCTACTTTGACTACGTTTTATTTATTAATGTAATCATATTATTTTATGAAAAAAATATTGTTAAACTTGTGTCATTGTAAATTTTCATAATCTAATTTTTTAATTTTTTTACTAATACAAAATCATTTATATTAATGGTCAAAGTTGTCAACTACTGTGATCAGATAGCATCAATGTTGATCTCAGGAGGTCGCAAATTCGAGTCTCATTCCAATCACGTATGTTAGCATTATAATGAATAGATACTATAATAAATTTAGAAGAATACTTCAAAAAAAGTATTTGTTAGGCTATTAAAAAGAACCGCATTATTATTAGTGAAAATCATATAAGTTAATTTTAGATATAAATTGAAAAGAGTTTTTTTCGAATTAATGCTAATTAATTAATTAATTACGAAAATAATGCTGGGTTAAAAGTATTTACCGATATACTGCTGGGATTAACCATGGTCGGGGTAAGTCAACAAACGGTTGGGCGACTTATAAGTCGCCATCCGGTTTGGCGACTTATAAGTCGCCCAATCGTTTGGCGACTTACCCCTTACTATAAAAAAGGTCTCATTTCTCCTATTTAGGGGTTACGAACCACATACAACACGTTACAATCATCCAATATTCATAACACAGTAGTCATCTAATATTCATAATCGAACACATCAACATATCATAAAAGAGTTTACAGGTGGAAATACGTAAAATAAAGTCAATTCTTCAGACAACATCTGGTGTACAAGAAAAACTCCAATACAAAATACAAAATCTAAGTTCTCATGGTCTTCTTGATCATTTTGGTCATGGAGATGTTGTTGCTGCCTACGCCTACGCCGCTGGCGTGGTTGAAGAACCACTCTCTTATGCTGAGTCTGGGATGATGAAGCCGCCGCTGCACTAGATGTCGATGGCCAAGCCACACATCCTCACTCCTGTGCGAGGCCTGCAATTTCAGGACAGAACGATCACTCGGTCCAGGATCCGCTGACACCTCCATGCCTACAAAAAAGAAATACGATATTAGTTAATTTATGTAATATTTTAGTAATTACTTTTTTTCATGCACTGTTAGTATCAAATGTGGAATAATATAATTTAAACTTTACCCAGTGGACTCTCCTCCATCTCTTGATGATCTCTTTGCACATGTGGCCCTATTATGGCCGGTTTGTTTACATATTCCACATCTAACCGTTCCTCGGGGACCTTCATCCATCTCATTCTTAATACGTGTGGACTTAGGTCTTCACTTAGCTCGAACCATGGATGGATCATGCACAATTTCAGGTCCATAGTAAGTCGGCCAATAATCACGGTCAGGAATGGGTTTAAAGACTCTTTGATATGTGGCGGCGTATTGTTGAGATGAGAAAAATGGATCCACAAATGGATGAAAAGACAAACTACATTGTTTGCACACGGCTAATACATGAAAGCATGGAATCTTATATATTTCCATCATTTTACAGGTGCAAGTACGCCGCCGCAGATGGACAATTTGTTTTCTCCCACCCTTTCCCAACGCAGATGGAGTAACATTGTGATGCTTCGCCTTCTCTCTATTCTTCTCAATCAAATCCGTTATGTATGGAGACTAGTCGTGGCCTTCAGTCACTCTTACTTTACTGCTTTCATGCCTATTAACAAAATAAACATTAACGTGGAAAAAAGAAACCTGGACCAAAGCGGTGATGTGAAAATATCTGGCATTTTTCATTACGCTGTTGAAAACCTCAGCCAAATTAGAAGTGATGGTACCATATTTGTATCCGCCATCGTGGTGTAATGATCACATTTCCAAGGGAATGTTCCACATAAATTGTCGCGCCTCCATCCGCATTTCCCTATCTTCTTGAACCCACCATCAAACTTCTTTTTCTGATGTTGCCGTGCGGTCCAAACAAACAGATTTTTTAGGTGAATGTATTTGAAATGAGTATGCACATTCGATGCAAGATGGCGGATAGATAGCCTATGGTGCGCATAAGGCTCCTCCCAAGTACTGCCCACCTCATTCATAGCCTTGACTATACCTGCATGCCGATCAGAAATGACACACAAATCCCTATCAGTGACAAACTCCCTAATGTATGCCATAAACCATGGCCAACTCTCCCCATTCTCAGATTCAACAACAGCAAAGGCCATGAGAAATATTTGGTTGTTCGCATCACTACCCATAGCCACGAGCAATGTACCCTTGTACTTCCCATACAAGTGTGTCAGTGTGTGCCATCAATAGTAAGTACAGGTCGACAATGCTTAAAACCATGTATTGAAGGCTTGAATGCCCAAAATACTCTCTGAAACTGCATATAACCTGTTGGAGTAATAGGGGGTGGGTACCAGTGAACAACAGTTCCAGGATTGGAATGTTGGAGCGCTGTCATGAAATGGGGCAATTCAGAATATGACTTCTCCCAGCCAAATATTTCTGCAATGGCCTTCTGTTTTCCCATCCATGCTCTTTTGTACGATACCGTATACCCATACTTTTCCTTCAGCATTTCAATGACAGTATGCACTTTTAGGGAAGGATCAGTGCGAAGAATGTCAATCACATCTTTAGCAATGAAATCAGAAGTCATTGCCACGTGATCAGTACTGTCGGTGTTGCCAACACAAGTAGCAGAATGAGGTCCAGGATAACGCACAATTGTGAAGTTGTCGATGTTGCCTTTGTTTTTTGTGGCACGTATTCTCCAGGGGCAATCACGTTCCTTCTTCCTCTTGCACTCTGCAACCCATTTGTGTTTATCGGACTTCAGCACCAGATAAAATTGGTTTCTTTTAATAGGATACAAGCTCACCATATTGATCACTTGTTCTTTGTTGTCAAACTGTTGACGAACCTCAAACTCACCTTCGGGTGTAAATCTTTTCATACCTGCTCTACTCATCCACACATCAGTAAAGCCTTCTGGGAGATCATATATTCTAGTAAAGTGACTAGACGGGGCAGTTGCCATGACAGTATCACCATCATCTTCATCAGATTCTGTCATGTCATCACCGTTGATGTTATCGTCAGCATCATCATCACTTCCCTGCCCATTCACAAATGATGCACCATTGTGCACATACCTACCCTCTTCCTCTATAACCATGTCCAGTACAACAGCATTTGAGGAGTTCCCTGCATTGACACCATGCCTAGGTACAACAACATTTGATTTTGATGGAGTATGTAGCAGAATAGTCAGATATGGATTTCTCAATGTATATCTCCAACGTGGACATACTCTCCATCTGAATTATCAACCACATATTTGATATAGCTAGCTCATCAAGAAGTGGCAATCGCAAACAACGGGTCGGAGAAATCATTGTAGCTGCATGAATTTTTTGCAGCATCTCGCCAAACATGCACCACGAGAAACAATGACAAAGCTGCTTCTACCACCTTCATGGCGTATTTAGCCACCTTCCTCAAATACGTTCCCTCCTCAATGACACACGATTGGGAAGTTTGAGAAATCCATATTCTAATAACAATCCATGTCCAACTTTCATGAGTACACATTAATATACACAATTCATATATGATATATATACACTTAAAAATGGAAAAATATAACATTTAAAATAAATAATACATTCAATTTTTTGAGTTTTTTTAGCATTAATAAAGTTCAAAAATTTAACAAAGTTCAATTCATACCTCCAAATCTACATTACATAACAAAGTTCAAAAAAATTATATAACAATGATTGCAACATCAACATTCAACACTTCATACATATTCACATTACACAACAAATCAATTCACAAATGAATTCCTAATTTACAAACTCAAATTTCCTATATTCTAAACCCTAAAATGAAAAATGAGATAAATTGGAGATATTTATTTACCTAGAATGTTGAAGAAGATGAAAGTGAAGTAGTATTGACAAAATAGGGAGGCCTCACCGTTGCTCGCCGGAGATTAACCTTCGCCGGAGTCGGGGCAGTGGTTCATCGCCGCACTTCGCTCGTATCTGCAGAGGGTTTGGGAATTGGGGTTCTGCTGCATTCTGTGTGAAATGGCGAACCCGACTTTTAGTTTAAGGGGTAAGTCGACAAACAGTTGGGCGACTTATAAGTCGCCAAACCGGATGGCGACTTATAAGTCACCCAACCGTTTGACGACTTACCCCAACCATGGTTAATCCCAGCAGTATATCGGTAAATACTTTTAACCCAACATTATTTTCGTAATTAATTAATTAGTGAGCATTAATTCGAAAAAAACTCAATTAAAAACTGTTAATATAAAATAAAAAAAGGAGAAGGAAACGGAGAACTGGAAAAATTCGATCAAAAAGGAAGGGAAAGAAAAAAGAAGAGATAGCATGAAGTATGAACGATTCGATCAGCAAGGGGAAAAGAAAAAAAATGAAGAAGCAAAAAGCGGGAACAATTTGATAGCAACAACAAACCTAAATACCATTGGATCACATATAGGGATCCTTGCAAGCCTATTGGTAATGGGAGGTAGGCATTAGGTCTCTTAATGATGTTGAAAAGGTTGCTGGGGTCAAACTCTGGTGGGAGTTTCAGCAAGGGGAGAGTATTTGGTCGGGCTTGATGAAGAGGAAATATAGCAGTAGAACTCTAGGGGAGTGCAAGCCAATTGACTCTCTAATTTGGAAGAGAATCAGCCTTATTCATGAGGAGGCTGAGAGCATGCTGACTAGGGGTCCTTAGTCTATTCATTGGAACTATTCTAAGGATGGAAAGTTTACAACCAAATCAGCTTTTCAGGCTCTATGGAGAAATGGTGGTCGAGCCTTATCCACAGACCACATTTGGCATAAGAAACAGCTGCCAAAAATCCGAGTTTTCTTGTGGAGGCTATGGCACAAAGCTCTTCCTTTCCCAGAGCAATTGGCCAAATACTCAGCGGTGTACCCCTCCATGTGTCCATTGTGTAACATTGCCAGTGTCTCAATGGATCATATTCTGCTACGTTGCTCCTTCTCTGGCTCCGTTTGAACTTTTTTACAAGCACTTTGTAAATGGGGGGGGGGGGGGGGGGGGGGGGGGGGCAGAGTTAACAACATCCAGAATCAGCTCATGAGGTGGTGGATATCGGTTACTAGAAAGACAATGGATAAACTCTACACTGCAATTATACCGGGGGTAATCACATGGCATCTTTGGAAAACATACCGGGACACTATTTGGAAGAATTTAAAGCCAGATACGAATCAGACCATTTATCAAATTAGCGAATTCATGATTAACTGGTGTTCAATGCATGTTAATTTGAAGGGAGGTGAAAAGTTGCAGAATCTTAGTTTATTACCTCAAAACTTCAAGAGGAGGAAAGTCAGGAAACCTCGAACCTTTCGGTGGAGACGATCAGCTGAGTCCCGGGCAGGGGCGGAGCCAAGGGGGTCAGGGTGGTCAGCCGACCCAGCTGAAAGTTCGAGAGTATAGAACTCTGAATTATCTTCGATTTGATATATTATGTCCCCCGTAACTCATTACGAGTAAAAAGTTATGACTTCTGGAAAATCAGCACTATCTAAACGTAAAATCAACAAAATTTGATACTTCCTCCATCCCAATTTGATGGTCTCAATTCTTTTGGGCACACATTTTAATAAAGTGGTTGAAAAGGTAAAAGTTGTGGTTGAGATTTGGGTATAATAAAGTGAAATGATATGGACCACATCTTTCTTTCCAAAAAGGGAAACATGATAATCATTTTGGGACATCCCAAAAAAGAGATACAGGATCATTATTTTGGGACGAAGGTAGTACATATTATAGATTATTTTCCCAAATTTTAAAAATAGGATATCATTCACTCAATACTTACGTGACACAACTCACAATCAGAGCAAAGACAATCTATTTATTGCTATGAGTGCTTATTTATTTAAACTGCATAAGAAATATTCAACTCGGACATTGTTTAAAAACGATCCACCATTTTCAACCCCCTGAGCCATTTTTCTGGCTCCGCCACTGATCCCAGGTGAAACTCAATTGGGCGATTGTTAGCAGTAATGGCCCAATGGGCAAAGAGCTGCTGGTTTCCTTCTGCGAGATCACACCGGTTCCATGGTTGCAGCGAACGGTTTTCATTTGCCCAATTCTTCAATAACGGAGGTGGAGGTCTTCTATGAGGCGGTGGAGTGGGCGGATAGAATGGGGTTGCCTAATAGGGTAACTGATGTTTCCTATTTAGGTATTTTGGAGATGGGTTCCTCTTTGAGCCGGAGTAATCTTGGCCTATGTTATTTTCCGGATTGGGCGAATAGAGCGACCAAAAGGGTAGCAGTGTTGGGCCTTGATAGGGCTTTTACTTGGAGATTGAATGATCTGATCCCAGAGCAGTTAGAGGGGCTTCTCAAACTGGATGCACTCTCGTTTCCTTATGTCTTTTAATTCTTTTTGGCTTTCTTCCATCTTGTTTTTGCTGAGTGCTTTTCACTTGGCTTCTTTTGGTTCGGTAGAGGTTTGGTTTGGTTCCCCTTCTCATTTTGATACTTATTGTTTTTTATTAAAATAATATGACAGCAATTGACCCCGGCAATTGATGACCCACTGATTTTGGGGTAAAAAAAGGAGTGTAGAACATAGAAAGACTAACTGAGAAATTACAAAAATACCTGACTATAAAATTACAGCCGGATGTATGGTGTAATTTGCGCATTATACACCCACTTTAACATATTTTATAAATAGTTATCAGAGCTTCGATTGTAAGTTTGTAACTCCCTGCGCCATTTACACTAGCAACACAATTATACTCATGCAACCATATCTTTATTTTAAACCTACCCTAACTTTAGGTTCTTACATAAGATACATGGCTTCTATTTGACTCCTATTTTGGACAAGCTGTTTACATCTGTATATATCAATGAATAATAGACTTCAATATTTCATAAGCCAACAAATGGTGATACTTGATAATGAGTTTAATACATTATTTACTATGTCTTATTTACACAATTATGCATATGGAGTAATTTACAGACAAAGGATTGGCATTGTGTGGTGATCAGAGGGCTTTTTGGTCAAGTCTCTCATTCCAGTTTAAGCAACGGATTAAACTGTGAAACCAATCACCAGTTTGGTCGGATTTGTTGACAGTAGGGAGAGGGTGTTGGCTCATACATATCCGTACAGAGTCACCTCGAGAGAGTTGTTGCCTTCTCTTCCCGTCGAAGGACACCCAAGCATTACTGCGTGCATCCTCAGGGATCTGTTCAAGTAGAAAATTGAAGCAACTCGTGAGCTTGAGATCCATCATAGTATCATGAAAAAATAGCTACACTATCCTCTGGTCATGATATATGGCCACAAACCTTTAGTTCTAGCTTTGCAGAATCTGGAAGTATAACTGGCCTGAATGAGAGAGAGTGCGGGCATATTGGTGTAAAAAGCATGCATGGAACGTTGGGATGCACCTGCATGCGTTGCACACATCGCAAATTGGTTTGTCATTTCTAAATTGAATGTACTATAAAGATTTTCCTTGTTTGTTTAAATATGTCTTTAGTGCATGCAAATATCTCACATTTTTGTTTACATCTCTGAAAAAAAACATCCCTGCAATATGTGCTATTTTCTTTTAGTCACTATCTAACTCTCACATTTTGAAATACACAACTCCTCTCTAAACTTCTCATGTCAACCTTTTTAACTTTTTGGAGGCGATTATTGGAGTTAATACTAATCAAAACTAATCATTCACATTCTTAATATAGGCCATTTGTAACTGAAATTTTGGCAGTTAAAAGAAATGATGTGAAAAAGAGGTGGAAATCATGTTAGTCATGTCTGTTTTATTGTTAAAAGAGTCGAGAACTAAAAATGAAAACGGTGCAAATTCCAGAGATGAAAAAAACACACCAACAAAAATTCAAGTACCAAAAACAAAAAACACTATTTTCAAAGGCTAAAAACAGACTAAAAGAAATTCCTAGTTTGAATGAATATCACACACTTTAAGGAAATGAGTTATTCTTTGACTTCTTGAGGTGCCTTTTTACTAACTAAGCATAAATCTTACTGTAGAGTACGCTGTTTTTAACCCTCTTTGGTGTAGTTTTCGGCGCTTGACATTATACACTCAGTATTACTTGAGTGTAGCAGAGTAAATTGATAAGAAATTCTTTACTGAATAAGGTAAGATGACTTTATTTCGGACGCCTCAATAAATATAGGAAATTCTTGAAGGGATGAAGGGAGTACTTAAGTCTAGTTTAATGGCTTTTTTTACTTACCATGGAACCCCCGGCAGCTGTAGAGTAAGCTGTACTTCCTGTCGGAGTAGCAATGATCACTCCATCACCTTGCACCTGCCCACCAAATAATATTATTAATAATACTAATAATAACAATAATCACGAAGCTTTTTTCCTATGGCAAGTGGGAAAATAATTATCAGGAAGGTCAACTTCTTCACCAACTCTATCTATGTCAAGCTTTACGGATTTTAAAACAGACAGAAAAGATTTCATTTAAGACATCAACAATGGAAGCAGAATAACGAAAATGCATAGAACAAACCTTTGTTATGAGACGATCATGTTCATAGCACTCTATCTTTGAGAGGTAGGGGTTAGAACCCCGATCAACCACAACTTCATTTAAAACATCAAACACCTTCCCTGGCATTGCTTTACCATTTCGGAATATCTCACAATGAAGTCGCATTCTAAGTGTAATGTACACTCCATCTAAAGTACTATTCCCATGGATGATTTGTCTCAGGTCCTTTTTGTAATCACCAAACTACACCATATCACCAGTCAGACAAAAAAATACATTGAGGGATCGCATGCATAATATTAAACATCCATACCCACCCTGTGAGAAGTTAGAAATCCAAGAGATCCTAGATTAAACGAGACAACGGGTGGAACAGCACCTCTAAACAGATTTGATGCATGAAGTATAACCCCATCTCCTCCTAAGCAAGCAACAAGATCGACTCTCTCATGAAGACCACTACATCAGAGAATCAGCCAAATTGAGCATACACACTTTACTACTTCACTGGTAACTATCAAATATTAAAATAATGATGGACATAGAAGACATTGAGACAATACATTTTATCTTACAGTTCAAGAATATTGAGCCCACCTGCTATCCTGAGTATAGAATGTCTGCACAAACCCATATCCTGGGATTCTTGCAAAAACATCATGCACCTCGGGCTCTACCAGAACATTCATTTTCTCTTGATAGTGCAAGAAAGAGGCAATCTGCATGAATATTGTTTTACAGGATAATGTTCAAAGTTATAATTAGATCGAAATTGAAAGCTAAATATTACATGAATGCATAACTAAGCGATCTGAGGACAATAAATGAGAAACTTAAAAGAACATTTTCAATCTATTTACATATTAAAGTATTAACAAACACATATTTTCAAGCTTAAACATCGACCACTAACAGAAAAGAAAAGGAAATAGCAATATCATCAAACCTTCACAATATGCAGTAACAAACTAATAAAAAAGGATCTCAAACTGTAAAGAATCAGAGCAAATGATCTATATTTCCCTTGCCAATTAGAACCATATATTGACGTAGTTACGGGCTAGAGTTATTTTGATTAGCGCCATATGATCAGAATAACAAAATATGTCAATGTGGGAGGTAAAAACTATAAAACACATATGAACTAACAAAGCTGGATGTGGAAATTTAATTCCAATTTCTCTCAGTTGAAATGATGGGAAGAGACAACAACAACATTACCTGTTAAACCTGGGGAGTTGGGAAACTGTTTAAGAAAATCTGGCGGATTTCTCAGAGTATCGTGTGATCACTTTCCGAATCTAATATTTCGACCCTATGCCTGGGTTACACGAAATTTAGATTATGGGGATAATCACTCTGAGAGACAGTCTAAAACTGAGGCACCAATATATAGATCACGAACTAGCAGTTTTAGTAGAACTCGAATTCTTCTGATTACCAAAGAGATAAGGCCAATCGGTTAGAGTTTTACTCTAACAGAAAGTCATTCTATTAAATAATTAATATGGACATGTTTATCCGAAAATAAATTTCCATATTTATTTCTTTAATAAAATAAAATTTTGGTCCCCAACCAGGGGCGCTGCCCCTTGGACCCCGCAAGGGGGCGCAACCCCCTTGACCCCCAACCATTTAATCGAACCAAGTTTAAATTTAATTTCGTACAAGTGTGCGCTCCGCACCTCCTAACTTGTCTAAAATTAAACTTGAACTCCATTGGTAATCTGTAAATTCCATTACACTAAAATGAATCTGGTGATACTAAAATCACCAACATTACCCCACTGCCACAAAGGCTCCCACTTACGGTGAGGGTAAGGGGGGGTCGGATGTACGCAGTCTTATTCCTGTGCTAAAGCACAGAGAGACTGTTTCCGGATGGGAAGAGAGACGGACCTAAATCCAAGTCAAAGAATAACACAAGTTGTCTTTATTTATCTACTATGAAGCACGGAAACTCTCGGGAAAGAGCATGTTTCCGTATAGGAAACTCTATAGAAACTCTTTTGAACTCCCTAAATAGTTGTTTTTCTATTAAAATTGGGTGTTTCCCGTTTCCTGTTTCCCCATGATTCCCATGTTTCCGTGCAACAAGGACTATTTATGCATCTAAATACAACAACCTCACAGACAGCTTCTGAATCTTGGTCATTTGAAGGAAGCAAACCTTCCGCCACATTTTATTCATACCTTTTCTATTCTCAAGGTTTGGTGGAATTAAACTTGGACTATGTTTTCAAGACATAATCTTCAATATAATCTTTAAGTCGAATCAAACTTCCTATAGTTTAATTATACTACCTCCGTCCCAAAAAAGCTTTGCCATTTCATAAAACTTGGACCATGATTTTGTTTAGTATAATATTATGAAAGTTATAACTTTTATACTTATGAAAGTACTTTTAACAAAGAACATTTTCATATCATTTTTATATTATAAATAATTTCCAATAAAAAGATATAGATGATCAAAGTTTTCAAAATAGCAAAGTTTTTTGGGATGGAGGTAGTATCTATTTTCAAATACAGAGATTTGAATACAAATTTTGTGACCCTAAAGTCTTTTGGGACTAAGGCTTAGATGTTGTTGTTGTACTGAGTTTTGAATATAAATTTAGTCAATTTGACATCAAGAGCAGTGCACATATGGGAGATGAATTGAAACAGATGGAGTAATACATAAAAAAGAGAAATTGCAAATTTGCAAGTCATGTGGTGAATGTTGAAAGATGAATCAACAAATCATTTAATATGGGCTAGATGTCAAACTTAACATCATACCAGCACAGCAAACTTACTATCCAAAAAGGACATTGAATAAGGATACTCATATATTTTAAGAGAAATAATATTTCGCACAAAAAGAATTGATGGTGTGGCATTGCATAAAATCTAGAGAAATGTTAGGACTGTAAAGAAAAACTGGAATATGTCCCCTGTGAGTGATGAGTCTATGACATAAAGTTATTTACACAGACAGAACTAACTCCATTGGGCAGTTGGGCTATTTTTTGTAGCCTGAGCGGGTATATTGCATATGTCCAAGGGATCCTTAACAATTATCTGGGGTAATATTTATGGGCATTTGCAACATAATTACAAGAGATGTTTCACATTTAACTCATGTTTTGTATACTTTAAATTAGAAATGAGGCTAAAAGACTACCTCTTTAGCTTCTTCCAATAGTTCTTGCCCTAGCTTCTTCAATAATAGAACCGTCTTTGGTGCAGATTTCCACATGAGCATCTGTTGCTGGGTGCTAGGGTGGGTAAAGGCCAAGGATGCTTCCTTTACCTTCTCTCTGGTGCATGAATATCCATCTGTACGCACTAGGAACATTTCAGCTTTCTTTCTTGACTGCACTCTAACAACCCCAGTTGCAGAAGCACACATATCTCCTTCCACCTCAAACTCCTCATCACTTGAAGAAACAAGCTTTGCATCAACACTATTAACCTGGTCTGTTGTAATGGCTGCGGGTGTATTATTTATGTCCAAATTGCCTATTGCATTAGCAAACTCTCCATTTTGACTCGTGGTATATACATTTCCATTGCAGATGTTCTCCGAAGAACCATAACAATCCGCATATGTTCCAAGATCAGCAGGAGAATCTGAAAGACTTCTATGCAAGTTCTTGCTGTTATATAACACACTTGGAATATCTGTTTCTATAAATCTGTATTCAGCTTTGGGAGCAGAGGCATTGATTTTCCCAGGTTTCTCCTTCTTGTCATATCTTGAGGCACATAGCATCTCCAAACGCTCATGTTCATGTGTGAAATATATTTCTGGTGAAATCTTTCTACTATTGAAATATGCAGACATTTCTTTTTGGGAGAAAACATTTGGAGGAGGCAGTTGTGACTCAAGTGGATTTACTTTGTTGTAAGGAACATCTGAACAACCTTCAGGGCCTTCAAATGTCGTATCCAACTTGAGTGGCATAGTTTGCTCCACTTCACTCTTGTTCACTATTGGGTTCTCTGTGTCTTGAGATATTTGACTAAGATGCTCCTGGGTAGAAGAACTAATTACATCAGATGATTTTGTTGGGTTGGTTTGATAATCTCTTGGGCTTGTGAACAAGTGGTCTTCTTTTATGTTTCTGTCACCATGCAGTAAATTTTCAATGGATAGAACTCCCTGATTTTTCAGAACCTGTGAAGAGTAGCGAGCCATGAATTGCCTCCATCTGGAGACCATAGCAGATGTTCGCCAAACTCCTTCCTTACAGTGAAGATATATTTGCCTCCTTCTTGAATCGGAAACAAGAGCTGCAAACTTCTCAACCTGTTCCATTGACGGCGATGTACCAACTTCAACTGGAAGTCTAATCAGCTCAATCTTGCCAAGTCTAATAGCTTCGCTCACCAAACTTTCATAAAAGTTGTCTTTTACAGTCTCGGCTCTAAGATCTACAATGGTTTTGAACCCTTTGTCCAACAGCCATTTAAAACCTTCTTCTGTTACCTGTCCACCTTTCCAAAAACAAACCTCCTCGGACTCTGTCTCTTCATTTGAAGTTGACAGATAAACAGCAGACCAGTTTGCAAACAATGTGTGAGGGGGGAAAGCATCTGGCCGAGGAAACCCAGAGTCATAACATACGTTCTTAAGGCTTTGCAGCTTTCTCCACACAGTAAGACTTTGATCATCGTCGGGTGTCAAGTAGTTTTCAAGAGCAACATGTAAACTCTCACAATAACTTTTCATCTCTCCCCTAAAAACCGCAAGCGGAGGAAGCTTATCATCCATCACATCCACATCTACATCACGGAACGCATTCATAATCAGTGATCTTCCAGAGAGAACTTCAGCCCTACCTTTGTTGAGAAGACAGACCATGCAGCCTAGAACAGAAACTATTTTATCTTCCAACAATGGTTTATCTTCTGATGGGACATCATATGAGACACTGCATTCTCCAGTCACTGGATTACATAGTGTGTTCATTAATGTATTGTGAAGCTGCTCAGCAGCCCTGAAAACTCGACAATAAGCTTCTACTTCTGCAATGTCCCCGGGCAGTGGACCAATCCATGGAGATTGTGATTGAGAAATCTTTGCATATTCAAGCAAAACAAACAGTCACCATTATTGACTTCATACATACGTAGTATATATATACTACTCTATATGCTACTGAGCCAGATATGAATTTAAAAAAATTCAACTTTTCGTCAACAATCATAACAGATATATCCATTGAAAGCCAAAGTGTGCAGAAATAATCGAGTATTCTGAACCAAACTGCAATCCCTGTGAAATGTGTGTTTGAGGAACTTACAGCGTATGAATTGGGCACAAACCATCATACAATAATATAAGTAATTTATGTTAAATAGTGTTAAAGTGAAGGTCAGTCTCAGTAACCAAAGTAACCTGAAAATCTAAGCCGGTTTTGAGGGAGAACGCGTTGGAAAGCTTAGCGGTGACAACGAGCTTAAGATGTTGCCCTCTAGCCCATCTTTGCTTCCTCCTACAAGAAGCTGATCCGTAGAAGAATCCGAGCCCGGACCCGGGAAGACCAGCAGCAAAGCAGTTGCGGTGATGGTCAAGAATACGAGTCGCTCCAGCAGCAGTGATGGATCGGCACAATTCCAAGTGGCATGGATAGCATCCGACACATGCGGCCATGACACCTCGTCCACGAAACTGTGATCAAAGTTTTGGCACCTTATTCCTTATTTTTCACATCAAAAGTACTCCCTATCAGTCTCGTTCAACTGTGCGCTATCAAAAATGTACGGAGTAAGTAAATGGAGGGGCTTCAAAAACTATTTCCTCCCATTTCTAAAAAATTGTTTCTACTAACAATTTGAAGTCTACAAAAATACTCCACTTTCATTCAAACACTCTAAAATTTGTTTCTATTACTCGAAAGAATTAGATTCAAACACCCTCTCACTTGTGCATATAGTGTAAAAGAAATGTACCGGGGGCGTAACTCAACTGGTAGCAAGGGAGTGTGACAAGGATTAGGTCTCGAGTTCGAATCTCGTCAAATGCGATGAGGGGTTACTATGCTAAAAATGCATAAGGTCTCTGCAAGTACCGGGGATAGAGTCTCACTCTCTATCTATCAGATTGTGATTATAGTCCAATTTACATCCTTCCAACGTACCGTCCGGTCGGATTTGGGGGGCCCTCAGGGATGGGGTGTCATCCTTTTTTTGTAAAAGAAATGTTTATCATGGTCCTGTGCCAACGGGTCACCTACCCATTGCCTACCCATGCTTTGAGCCACGCGCCAGCCCTCCCTATATCTAGTTAAGTGTGGTCATTAAAACAATCAATTTATGTAATTGATATTGAATTGATAAAAATAAAAGTGAATGAATAATTTGAAATTGTACATACTTTATCAAATTTGGTATGAAACATTTTTATTAGGACGAAACAAAAAGAAAAGATAAGATTATCTTAACGGGATGAAGGGAGTAATATCTTCGTTGAACAACTTGTTATTGTGATTGACGCCTTTACCGTTAAGAGGTAAGATTAATAAAGATGTATGCACAAATAGTAACAAATTAATACTCGACAAGATTAATATTGGCTTGGATAGAAGTAGAAGAAGATAATATAAAAAGACTACATGAGGTTAATGATGAAAGAAATGTGGGAACTAACAATTTTCCTTATGGTGCCAATCAAATATGGGACAGAACAACTTAGGAGATGTTGTAACATTTGTCAGTAGTACAATCAATACTTTGAGATCGGTTTTGGAAATAAAATAATTGTAGTTACATCAAAAGTCAAAAAGTTTTTTTCTCAAATAAATAGGCAGGAAAGCCTTGTGTATGGAAGATTTATTTAGGTAGAACGTCTTATTTTGAAAATTTATACTCCCTCTGTCCCGAAATTATCTTCATTCTTTCCTTTTCGGTCTGTCCCAAATTTATCTCCTCTTTCCCTTTTTGATAAAGAATATGTGGTTCACAACCATTCTTACACATTTCTCTCTCCTCTGCACAACTCTCCACCACACAAATCCCACTATCTTAATCTCCGTGCCCAGTCAAAACCAAAGTTAATTATGGGACGGAGGGAGTATTGATAAATTATATTGTGAAATTCGCACAAAATTTCCAACAATTTGGGATGAACCTTTCATGCAATTTTGACATCTTTATCATCACCCATAGTCGCAATTCATATATTTGATCAACTTTTACAAAATAGAAACTTATATTACACGGATAGAGATAGTCGATACATGGATATGCATATGCTACTATGGTAATACATAATGTTTCAAAACTATAGAATATGAGTACAATGTATATTTGCAAATACGTAATAATAATTATGTAGGGGTTGATTTGCACATATATATATAACTTGATGCAGGAGCGGACCAAGGAAAGTCATTTTGGGGGGGCGAAAAAATTTTTGGGGAGTTCAAAATACTTTTTGGAAGAGCAAAAACTATTTTTCGTATATATATGCACTAAAAAAAAAATTGTTGGGAGGGCGATAGCCCCCCTGGGTCTCTACTACTGTCCACCCCTGACTTGAAGTTTCATATATAAAAAATAACAACAGTACGAGAAACTAACAATTCTTATTAAATTTCAAAGAATTGTCTTCAAAAATAAACCTAAAGTTCTCATATTTAAATTTAAACAACATTTAATTCGCTAAACAAAAGTTGAAAAATTCAACTACTCCTATATCTCTACAATCTTATAAGAGTGAATGAGAGTAAGGATTGTTTGAGTATATGAAATGTGTTGGTGGTACAGTACAGCTAGATTCAATTGTACATTCATTTTAAAGCATTGTACCCCTTAAATTATATTCTAACTTTTCTAATTTTCTTTCGTTAGTCTTCACCTCTTTAAACTTCCGTTAATTTTTCATTTCTCCTTTGTTGGTAACAACTTCAATTGGGTTCTAACAGAGCTAATTTTACCCAATTGAATTGTTTGCTTTAATTTCTTATTATTACCCTTTTCCCTTTTTCTTGTTATTCACCCTTCTCCCAATCAGCCGCTGGTTATAGATCCTCGGAATTATGGGATTTCGACCATAGGCGGAAATCAGCTTATAATATGACCTGTCAGCTTGTAGAACAGAAGTCTTGACCTTCGAAGTCCTTGGCTTGTTTATCCGGAGTATTTAACTGTATTTTTATCTACATTCATTTTATAAAATTCCACCAAATTATATACTACATATGTCCCAAATTAATTTGCAAAATTGACTTTTTTTTATCGAACAGTTTCATTTCATTCACTTAATTTGGATGCTAATTTTTAATTATATTCTAATTTTGGAGTTAGCAACTTTGAAGATATTTTAATGTAGTTTCCGAATATGTAAATTTTAATTATTAAAAATTCAGTTAATTAGCAATAGAGAGGATTTAACTTTAACTGTGATTGACCAAAAAATGTTGACTTTGCAAATCAATTTGGAACAAATGTTTACAACAATTCTCTTACAGTAAAAAATGTGAAACCAGACATGCTATTTGAAATAATGTAGGGATTCATATGTTTTGTATGTTTGTTAGTCAAAAAACGTTAACTTTCCCTCAGTCAAAAAATGTGAACAGATGTTTGTTACAGCAATAGAGAGGATTTAACTTTAACCGTGATTGACCAAAAAATGTTGACCAAAAATGTTAACTTTCCCTCAGTTTTGTTATCAATTCATTGCTAAAATTAACATTTAACTGCACCAATTTAACTACACCTACTAGAATAGTAATATCACTGATGGTACTAATAATAATATTACAAATAACAACAACAATAATTTTTTAAAATATTTGGTCTGATTTAAATGTTTTTTTATCTAATCTGAATATTATTACCACCTCCGTGTCACTAACACTGGGACATGATGATGTGGTACGGTTATTAAGAAAATGAGTTTATGTGATTGATGTTGAATTAATAAAGTAAGAATAAATAATAATGATTTAGAATCACAAAACTTTACTAAATTTGATACGGAGTATGATACAATCTTAATAAAATGGATCGAAGAGGAAAGATGAGCCAATCACTAACATTTTTTCAGTAAATTTGAGTGGGCTCATAGCTGACCTAGGCCCTCGTGCCTACGCCCCTGCTTCATGGATCCCACTCTAACCATGGACGGCATCTGGACGTTTTAAACGGAAGTATAATTACAACTTTCTGAATTACTGATGGATCAGTAGTTAGTGATGATTACCCACCCTCATGACCCATCATTTTGGAACCGGACTTGGGGTACACACTTGTGTACACACTCTTACACACTCATGTCTGTGTAGGCGTTTTTTTTGTCCCAGACAACATATTTGACAAATACGTTTTGTCTGGGACAGACAAAAAAAACATCTACACAGACACGAATGTGTAAGAATGTGTACACAAAGTGTGTACCTTTAGATTTTTTCATCATTTTGTACAAATCATGATTTAAATAATTTGTGTGCTTTCAATCATCTTCAAACATTACTTCTCATCATTTTGTGCTTTCAATCATGAACTGATTACATTGCAACCATCGTAATATATGCAATTCCTTTCATTAATTATTAGTGTTCAAGCGACTAGCATTACTTCTTCTTTTTTTGAAAATAGCTAGCATTACTTCTATGCACAAGTTTATAATTAAGAAACAAATTCACATATTAGCATTATAGATAACAATGAAAAAATGTATACTTGGTCAGTGTTTTCAATTTTATCTATATGTTTCTTTTATAACGTTGTTTAGAGATATTATTTTCGATGGCGTAGTGTCGTCTGCCAAATTTATATTCACCGTCATCTTTGGTCGGGAGTTCATGTGTGCTAATAAGAGGTTTGCATTGATATCTTCATCAATTGAGAATATGATTTTCGTCTGCGATGATATTGTAACGAATCACCCCCTCCTGAACCACCGTTGTTCCAAGAAGTTGAAATCACATGGACTGGTTTCTTTCCGGTGGCTGGCAGAAGCGGAATAAATTTTACACTTGGCTCCTTGCCGGTGGCTGGACAAATCGGGATGTTTAATACGAAGTATTTTGTTTGAGGATTATATATTGTGATCGTAGCAGGAGGTCAAATAAGCCCACATACTAACCAAAAAAGGGGTGTATCCGCTTAAGAATACACATATCGAGAGCGTCTAACATACTTGGGAAAAGGGGCAAATAAGCCCACATACTAACCAAAAAAGGTCAAATAAGCCTTTATATAGGAGGCTCTGTCAGGTTGTCGTCAGTTGGGGCAGTTCCCGGTGGAATTGTTTGATGAATTTGAGAATCTTATTCATTAAATCTAGTTTACTCACACCAAATTTCAGCTAACAATTCAATCGGGAAGGCATTCAAATAAATTATTGAGAATAACTGAGTTTTTAACTGCGCAGTTATCTTCAAGAATTCATTTGAATGCCTTCCCGGTTGAAGTTTTAGCTGAAATTTGGTATGAGTAAACTAGACTTAATGAATAATATGTTCAAAAAATTGCATCAAAAAGTTCCACCGAGAACCACCCCAAATGACGATGGCCGGACATTGCCCCTTTTCTCAAAATACTTTAATGAATCAAATACTTTAATTAAGTTATAGATGCAAACTCAATACATACTCTATTGGTGCGCTTGGTAGGGTTAAAAATAAATACTCTTTCCGTCTCGTTGGAATGTTCCCGGTTTGACCTACATACATATTAAGGAAATAAATTTATCAGGGGGTAGATTTTACTGTTTTGACACTGTTTGGCACTGTTTCGAGACACTGTTTGACACTGTTTTGCACTGTTTGACCCTGTTTTGATGTAGGATAACTTTCCATTTAGGGAAATAAGAACTTTTCAACGGGACATCCAAAAAAGTAAAGCGGAAACATTCCAACGGGACAGAAGGAGTACTTTACATTCAAAGCGTAGGCACGTAAAATATTTATACTATTTGACTTGATTATTTAATGTAAACTGTATTTTATTTTAAGTTAGAGAGAATGTTTTTTATAATGCATTGCAATGCTTTTACGTACAATTTAAAAAACTTAAACAAAGAAAATATATTTCCAAATTAATTTAACAATTAGATACGGTACATAAAATAAAGATTTAAGAAAAAAACAGTTGGTGGATAGAACCCCTAATCCAGAAGAACAATCCAATGAAGGAACGCCAGCTGGCTTATCCCAAATCAATATCCCCTCTCTCAATCCTGTCCTCAGGATTCAGACTTATCCCAAATCAATATCCCCTCTCTCAATCCTGGCTTATCCCAAATTAATTTATCTTGTGTTGCAAATTCTACTCCATACTAAAAAAAAAGAAGCTTCATAATATCAATCAATTCCTATGGCGGCAGCATCCACTGCTTTGCTATCTACGCCGATCTTCCGAAGCGGCGGGAGGAGTAAGTCCATCTCTGACATCTCCTCATCCAGATCCATCATCAACTTCAACTCGAGGAGAGAGAAGAGGCGGCCGCGCAGCAACGGAGTCGCCGTCGTCAAGGCGGAGCTGAATCCGCAGGTGGTGATCAGCCTGAGCACAGGACTGTCGCTGTTCATGGGAAGGTTCGTGTTCTTCAACTTTCAGAGGGAAAACGCGGCGAAGCAGGGGCTGCCGGAGCAGAACGGGGTGTCGCACTTCGAGGCAGGGGATAGGCGAGCGAAGGAGTATCTGAGTCTGCTGAAATCGAACGATCCGGTAGGGTTCAACATTGTGGATGTTCTCTCCTGGGGATCCATTGGTCATATTATTGCTTATTCCATCCTTGCCACTTCTTCCAATGGTTACGATCCAAACTTCTTCGGCTGATCATCTTTTAATTCTTCGTGTGATGTTGATAATCATCATTCTAAGAATGTAATGATATTTTTATAATTAGTTATGTTTCATTCTCGCTTATAATATGGCATTTACGTTCAATAAAAAATCAATTAGTTAATTAATCGACGCATCCTTTAACCTATACCAGGTACTTTGTACTTCAAAATTTAAAAATAATGATGAATTTATGACTAAAATAATATATGGTTTTTTTACAAGAATATTACTAAAACAAGTCATATTTACATAAATATGACTGTTCATTACTACAATGTGGTGTTGTGGTAATTTAAACTCAAAACTTGAACATGAATTACTATGATTTCATTACTACTCTAGTCATTAGTATTTTTATAAATCATCTTTATTTTGATCATATTTATGTAATTATTTCATAAAATATTAGATTGCATTATGGATTCTAGTATGCTTGGTGATTCAATGGTACCGAGTGCTATATTTTTGTGATCATAACAGTATTTATATTGTAACATTAGTGACCGTGTTGAACAAGACTATTAAAAATCTCTTAGGAAAACTCCCAAATTTAATACTCCCTCCGTCCCATATTTAACTCCGGTTTTGACCGGGCACATGTTTTAAGATAGTGGGATTTGTGTGGTGGAGGTTTATGCAGAGGAGAGAGAAATGTGTAAGAATGACTGTGAACCACATATTCTTTACCAAAAAGGGAAAAAGGAGATAAATTTGAGACGGACCGAAAAGGAAAGAATGAAGATAATTCCGGGACGGAGGGAGTATTAAAGATGGTACGTAGTATATCGTTGAAGATGGTTAAACAGTGGTCAGATTCTCTCAAAATTACTCCGAATGAATGAGCTGTGGGCTGATATTAGCATGAAAAAAACCATGTGTACTACACACTTCTTAAACGCCAATGTGAACAGGCTATTTTTAGACAAAACATGCGGACAAAACATGTTTTCTTTGTGAATTGTCTGTTACTCCCTCCGTCCTGCAATGAACTTCCCACTTTCCCTTTTTGGATGTCCCAGAAACAAGTTCTCATTTCCTTAAATGGCAAATTAATCTACATTAAAACAGTGTCAAACAGTGTCAAACAGTCTCAAAACAGTGCAAAACAGTGCCAAACAATGTCAAAACAGTAAAATTTATCTCATAGTAAGTTTATTTCCTAAATATGTGTGTAGGTCAAATTGTGAAGTTCATTGTGGGACGAAGGGAGTACTTGTTTCTTTGACCATAACAAATAGTTACGTGTTGATGGTATTGTATCATTTAGGCCAAATTTATAATAACTACTCCATACTAAACATATACGTAATAAAATTGAATTAGTCTTCACGTCAGATTAAACTTATAAGAAAAAAATAGATTTATACTACATTCATCCCATAATGTAAGATGCATATGAGTTTGGTGTAAATTTTTAAAAAATCATGAAAAAAATGAGTTCTCAAAAAATATAAGGTGAAATGATAGATAAAGTGATCAAGTAAAAAAGAAAAAAGTTAAGCAAGTCTAATTTAAGAAAGTGTTCGTATTTTTGAGACATTCAAACAAAGAAAAATGTATCTAATAAAATGGAGATAGTCATGATATAAGCCTCTAATAAAAATTGATGTTTCCATAAATATTATAATACCATATAGAAATTCAATTCTATTGTATAGTTATACCCGAAATCGTTAGAGATATTCTAGATAGAAGATAAAACTAATACTTCCTCCGTCCCGCAATGAACTTCTCACTTTCCTTTTCTGGATGTCCCACAAACAAGTTTTCATTTCCTTTAATGGCAAGTTAATCTACATCAAAACAGTGTCAAAATAGTGCAAAACAATGCCAAACAGTGTCGAAAAAGTGCAAAACAATGTCAAACAGTGTCGAAACAGTGTCAAAACAGTAAAATTTACCCCATGGTAAGTTTATTTCCTTAATATGTGTGTAAATCAAACTATGAAGTTCATTGTGGAACAGAGGGAGTAATAGAGAAGTGTCTTGTAATAAATGATTTTTGAACTCCTATAACCGTCCAAAATGAGCTTATAGTGACAATAAATGTTTAAGTACATTAAATGTTAGAATAGTATAGGTTAGCTAGTCTAAAGGCGAAACCCTGGAACATATGAAAAGGACATGTGATGCCGCTAATTATGTTTACGTTATAGTGGCTGAGGGGCATGTTCCCTCATCTATAAGTAGATAATAGAGTGCTACCCGATCGGTACAATACCGGATCTGGTTCCGGACCGGTCGACCACCCCTAACGGGAGTAGATGGACTAATGGATTGTGAAATGCAAAAACAAATGGTCACTAAGCAATCTATGAAATAGGTCTGAATACTTGCGATAGTGTGGATGGATGCTTCATAAAATTGTATGAAGGCGTACTCATGTGTCATTATTATAAGGCGAATCAGAAAAAATGTTATTGGGAAAAACATCCCTTGAAATAAGAGTTCTCTTCTCGCTCTCAGATGCACACTTAGTAGTTTCCACTTCTTCAGCATGTCTCTTCTGATCCCCTAAAGAGTCAACACGGATTCTTTTGAATTCTTTGAGTAGAAAATGGGAGAGAATCCACCTCGTTAGTCATAGGAGTCTCAAGAAAATCCTTTATAATTGCTAATGAAGGGTCAGGTACATGAATTAGCTCAAAATTATTAGCGTCCTCAATAGCAATCATCTCTAAAGAATCCTCAACAAAATCGCAATGCATAATATCAACTTGCAATAAAGCTTCCGACATTGAAGAATTGATCTTACAAGAAAGATGTCTATCCTCATCCATTCCTTATGTCAGGGGATCCCAATCAAAATTGCACTTGTGTTGCCTAATAAAACCTCACACGAAGCATATTCAATCGCCTGCATTGGCTCCTTAGTTGTGTTTGCAATCATTAAAGTAATTGCTCTTGTAATCCCGGATAGGAAACAATTAATTCCAAAATCATTTCTCCCTTCAGGTATAAATAGAGAGTTGCATACCTTCTCAATAATTCGAATAAAGCCTCCAAAAATATTAGCATTATGAAAGACGACAGTGGAAGTCAAGGTCTTCAACCAAGAAGCTTTTTCCAAATCAAGGTCAATAGCAGAAATAATCCCATGTCTCATCTCAGAAATACATAGTGCATTGCTATTAATTATATGGAATCGAAAGCATTTACTTTCAATTGAAATTTCACGCCCATCTGGCGTAAGAATAGGCTGATATCATACTAGATTATGCCTTTTCTGTTTGGAGCTGCATTTTGCCATTGCTAAATTGATGACTCGCCTATGAAGACTGCTCTTTTGCCTAGTCGTTTTTGGGAGTGAAAGATGTGCTTGCCATGAGTCTATCGGCTCTTTTATGCCTAAACCTACTTATTTCAGCCGTGTTATTCCGAGTCAGCAAAATTCTAGTAGGTCGATGAGGGAAGCCTACTACCTTTGAGGAGCCGAATGATCTGTAGCCTAACCGTCTCTCATATCGGCCAGTTACAGGTTGCCACTCGGGCTTGTTGTCGTCAATGCCCAATCGTCGTCGGAAGGGCAAGCCCTGTTTGCGTGCAATCCGATGCAGAGCGCCCACTGACTATGAGAAGAGAGCTCATATTTCATCGATGGACGACCTTTGGGACTCTGACACGAATATGATATTTGTAATAAAGCTTTATTAGTCACGCCAGAAAACTGCTTGCCCACGAAGAATTTGAACACTCAAATTAAGACCTACACGAAAAAATATCAACGATCCCATTATATGAGGACTAGGGTTGTTTTTACTTACTGTAATCGTCCCAGACCAGACCAAAACAGAATAGATCAGACCAAATCAGACTAAAACAGACCAGATCAGACCATATTTTATTATTATTATTATTATTATTATTAGGGATGTGCACCGGTTCAAAACCGGACCGGACCGGACCGAACCGGACCGGATATCATTCCGGTTCGATCCGGTTCCGGTTTTTCCGGTCCGGTTCGGTCCGGTTTTCCGATTTAAACCGGATAGTGCACACACCTAATTATTATTATTATTATTACTATTATTATTATTATTATTATTAGGGGTGTGCACCAGTTCAAAACCGGACCGTACCGAACCGGACCGGATATCATTACGGTTTGATCCGGTTCCGGTTTTTCCGGTCCGGTTTTCCGGTTTCAACCGGCTAGTGCACACCCCTAATTATTATTATTGTTGTTGTTGTTGTTATTTGTAATTATAAATGAATAAAGTATAATTATTTATGGATTATAATACATACGTAGTATAAAAATAAAATCTTTATGCAAAAAATATAAAAATAAAATTTCAGACCAGACCAAAACATACCAGATCAGACCAGATCAACAAATTACAGTCCAAGTAAAAACATCCTAGATCTCAAACTCGACTAGAGCACGAACTTTGTGATCAAGTGTTAGAGCTTTCTTGGGAGGGACTTCTTTTTTGTACTTCGGGTTAGGCATGGACTCGATTCGGGCCGGGCCTGGCCGAACTTTTTTTAGGAATCTTAAGACCCGGAACCGGCCCAAGTAGCTACTAGGTCCGGGCCCTGGCCGGTTCGAGCTGGGCCGAGTCAGGTCGACCCAATTTCCATTTTATTTATTTTCTAATTACTTCCCACCACCACCACCACCCCACCCCAAACCTGTCCAAAACACCCAGCCCAACCCATTTACCTTTTTCAAATTTTGAAAAACCAAAAAAAAGGCCCGAACCGGGACCAAACCGGCTGGGCCAGTTCACGTTTTGGGAGGCCCGTGAACCGCCCCTGAACAGTGCCGGACCGGGTGGCCCAAACCGGGCACAGACCCTAGTACCAGGCCAGGCTAGTCCATAACAGTACCAGGTCGGGCCGGTTACGGGCCGATTAACCCAGCCCGAGTCCATCCCTACTTCAGGCTGGGTAATTGGGTTGTTTCACATCTTTGATTTTCTCCTCTTGTTACTGTTTTCTTCCTTTAAAATATTGTGACAAAAATATATAAGGGCAAATCAGATATTCAAATTAAATTCATTTCTTAATATTTAACTTGAGGGATTTAATTAGTAATATTCATTTCTCAAAATTAAATTTGAGGGTTGCAGTTAGTAATATGGGGACTGATTTGAACTTCCCTTTATCAAAAACAGATGTAGCTGGTTTGGGCCTAATTGGAGGTACCAGACCGAAACATTCCAAATAACCAGAACCACTGGCCGGCCCAGTTTTCTGTATAAAAACTGTCTCAGTTCGTATCTGGATCGGACTCCATCAAAATTTTATTTAGTAGGGATGCTGACAAATTAAATATGCACCAATAATATAATACGGAGTAAAAACGATTTATACTTGGTGTGGTGTCATGTAGGACTGGATGTCAGCATTAATTTACACAAGGTTATGTAGTAACTACTCCGTATAAATTAATTCCAGACGGATGTCAGCAAACAATGTTCACACAAGAGTACAAGACTGCTCAATCAGCCTCCCCTAGTCCATCACTACCATCACCTCTCTTTGATATTGCGGCCATCATATTATGCGATTTAGGCGTTTTCTTTTGTGATGATGCAATTTCAGCATTTTTCCGCAATACTGCTCCAGGCGATGGGTACGGTCGCTGTTGAAAGAGCGGACCCTGAAATCATTAATTCACAAACTTTTATTTAGCACTCGGATTAGTGTTCATATTAATAAAGTGAAATCGTCCATGCCATGAGAATTGCGTATGACATACTACATGCAGACAATCCATCAGAGCATGTAACAAAAATGCAACGTGTCAAGAGCTACAGAGCAATGTCACCATTAACATTTGATTGCACACTCATAAAAGTAATGGAAATTTTAATAGCCCGAAAGCCTCATAACTTATATAACAACAACATCCGAGCCTTAGTCCCAAAAACTTCACAACTTGCTCTCTTTTAAGTTTTAACGCACTTATAATAAAAAATGCATATACAATATCTAAAACCTAGCAGTTCTGGTTCAATTTTAGTCTATTAGCATTGTTCATGATACATCAACACCTTTTAGAAAATTTCTATCATCATTATTCATGTTTTTTTTGCATTTCTCAGATGAACTCTCAACCTATAGTCAATGTGCATTTTTATGCATGAAGCGCATTGATAGTTTAGCATTATTTTAGAGACTGTTTTGCATAAATGAAATGACAAACTCTACTCACTGTGGCAGTTGTGTCGGCTGCCCGTGGTTGCACTCCTTTTAGTCCTACAACCCTGCATGCATATTATAAAAGGGAAGTGCGGATTTGGTTAGCAATCATATACTCATATTTACAAAAATAGCCTTGACGGTAAAACTTCATACTTACCAACCACCCCTGGGGGCATCTGAGTAAGAGCTTGGATCCATAGGATCCAAGTCTTCATCCTCAGAGTGTGTACGCTTGCGGTTATCTCGCCGATCACCTTTTCCTGTGGGTGGTTTGAAACTAGACCTGCACATCCCAATAGGCCAGTCAAGCACACTGACATCCACAGCGATAAGCAGAGTTTGAACAATTCAACCTATTAATTTTCAACTTTGCTACTTGCATCCACCCCCTTATATCCACCCTTATACCCACCCCTGTGAGATGCTATTTTTTTGTCAATGAATCCTGTTCACAGACAAAACAGATCTAATTTTAGGAATGCCTAGCATGCATTTGTAAACATATACATACTTTACAAGTTCTACATCAGAATCTAAACCTCTTTGGTTCGCAAGGCTTTGATTTTTATTAAAGCTATTAACCTAAATAATATTTAAATATTAGAATAATGGACAAAGGTGGGTTGAACCGTTGAAGTTGCACTAAACGGCCACCACTGTAGTAGGTCGTAAGCCCTCATTTTCCGCCCATGAGGCTCTTTCTCCCATAACCTTTAACCTTTTCTGAACGCCTTGTTCCAAGGCACAAGCACCAATAGTTTTCTTAAACCTTTGGTCATAAACAGCGATGTGGTGAGGCAGATTTGTTTTTCAGATGACATAAAAAAGTTTGTGAAGAATGGCAGTTTATGAAGGAAGTATGGCCATCTACAATCCGCCATTAATAACATTGGTTGCGACTTGTGAGGCGAAGTACGGAAGTAGATATTAGGGTAGAATTCATCCTAAGGTGTCTTTATTCTTCACCCCCACCTTTTTGGGGGGGAGAGCTTTCCTGATACATGCAGTCAAGTATAGTACATTTAATATGGTAACTCTTGGAATGGAAGGTATTATCCTAAAATGGTCTTTCACTAATTACAACTTAGTAGGACAACCTTTTCTAAGACAACTCCCTTATATTGGAACTAGAGGGGAAAACAAATGAAAGAAACTTGCAAATGTTGCAATACTAAAAGTCTAAAAGCCCAAAGAGGGGCAAAGAAATGAAGGGAATTTGCACATATTATGATAAAAGCCCAAAGAGGACTGGAATACCTCTGCTTCTGAAATTTCTTCTCAGAATCTTCCTTTGGACCTGAAGCATTTGTGTGCTGTTTGCTTTCAGCATTTTCCAACAGATACTGACTCTGGGGAAGGTTAAGAACTCTGCATGTGAACAATATCAACTAAATAATGAAACCTCACTGACCCATTGAAAATCTGAGGTTTGATCTAGCATAGGCAGCAGTCAGGCGCATGCATGTATACACAAAATTATTGATCATATATGTACATAATTGTTTATAAAAATTAAAAATGTGAATTTTCTAAACCCCACTTAGGCCGCCTAGCAGCCTAGGTGCTGGGCTGGTGCACTAGTATCAAGGCTGTGTTTTATGTCAAGCCACTAAGAGAGTCTAACTACTGACATCAGTGATAAGGAACCAATTTCATGCAACACTAACCAAGCACACACACGTGTATTCAAACTAGTTAATTGAGTCGCATGACACTTGTGTAGCAAGCATGCATTAGCATTACTTGATATTATCAGGTATAAAGAAACGCAAATGAACGAACATTGATACTTATCACATTAGTTCCTTAAGCTGCTTGATACCATTGTTAAAAATAAAATGGCAACACATGCAAATGGGAAATATTGAGGTGCCACTTGCCAGTCATGTTATTGTTTAATGTTGGATAAATATGCCTCGGTGGTGACGTTAACAAGCGCCCACCAGTTAGATAGCAGATGCGATATTTAGAAAATCCAGAAGTATAAGAATGGAAGGATGGTAAAAATATCCCTACATATTCTAACAAATGACTTTCAATTAGCAGTAATTTCTTACATTTTATAGAATAGTAAAATCTCATCAAGAGACTTTCCAGGTCAATTCAAACGTTACTTACCCAGAATGGCATGGAATGATGCAACACACTCGCTTGATAAAAAGAATTCTATCAAGTATAAAAGAATCATGCCAATTGTTAGTCGAACATTTTATTTCATGTGTCAATTCACTCAATTGTTGAGTTCACAGTTCAACCAGTTAGGGGGAAAATTGTTGTCGCGTGTCATCGAAAAAACTAAAAAATAAAAAGGAAAAAAAAATGCCAAACTTGTTTTACAGAACAGGCAGCAAATGAAAACAAAATATGGCAATACCTAGTGCAGTGTCTGCAGTACCCCCATGATTGCAAAAGGGACACGCCCCATCCACCACATCCCTTGCACTTTGGCAGTATGGATGACTGTTGCCCCATATTTGTAGTTGTATTTGCATCATGCAACTGTAGGGCAGCCTGCTTCAAGGTAAAGGGGTTCTCCCATTGAGATTCATTGGTCAAGGTGTTATAGT